CTCAAGACTCCAACGTAGGGTGGACGATGCCTTTGAACTACTTAATATTATTTCGTTTCAAAGTAATGTCGTTTTTTTAAGTGAACGCCACATATCCTGGAACCAAGATTTTTAAGGGCTCTCGGGATCAGTCAATGCAGCATTTCTTCTTCTTCTAATGGTTGTTTTCGTTTGCATAATATTCAACGAGCTCTCAAGAAATTACCAAAACCTGCGGCGTGCTTTTTGTCATGGTCAAGTTCGGCTATTTTTCCATATTTTTGTACTGATTCCCCGAAGAAGTACAAGTAACGGATAAATGGAGCAAGTCCCATAGGACACTAAACTATTTTTTTCTTTTCCCTAGTTTGCTTCTTAGAGTTTCTAGAATCAGTTTTTCAGTGGTATCAAAATCCATATTGGGTCAACTCAAACCTCACAGAACAAAAACCGGCAAGCAACTCGGGTGTCATTCGACGCAGCTTTTTCTCCTCTTTTTATCTGTTGTTTTTGATTTCCGATTCATAAAGTTTTTTACGATAAAGTCATCATAATTCATTTTTTCCAGGGCGCCCCAGGTTGTACCCGAAATTCCCGAATATTGCTAATCTGAAGCGGTAAACGCTCACTTGCTTTGTAAAATTAGTGTCAAACCTAATCCACCTTTGTAAGCCTTGAAACCCGAAAATTTACTGGTGTTTGATGCATTTGTGTCTGAGACAAGCCTGCTAAAATTCGGTTATTCCATCAAAAAATCTCTACAAAAATCATGACGGGCCATGGAAAGTAGAAAAAAATCGCACTGTTTCCTATAGGGTCTGCTAAATCCACCTGTTGCTTGAACTTCTTCGGAGGACTGTTGTAAAGATTTAGAAAAATTGTGAAACTTGACCTTCTCAAAAGGCATGGGTGGCAAATTTTGCTAATTTTTTTGGAGCTTACCGATCTGCTTTCACGAAATGTAACGTTCAGAAAAAAGCGACATTACCTTCAAAATGACCTAATATATTAGGTTGACCCAAAAGTTGCCGATTTTTGTCAAACTGGTATAAAAATTTGTACAAGGTAAACCTGAATGCTCAGACATGCATTTGATGCAGCATTTCATTCTCTCTCTGATAACTAGATTTTCAATCATAACTTTTTGGGCGTCTCTTGATAAGTGCCAAATCTTCACCTGTCATTTTCTATCTGCTTGAAGTTCGGCAAATTTTACAAAATGTTCTAGTTTTGGCAAATGGTGAGTGTAAACAAACAAAGCAAATCTCGAACTAATGTGAAATCTACCGCAATGGAAGATAGGTTCTGGTTTTAACGATTAAATACATAATGATTACAACCCCGAAGAGCATTATGTAGAGTAGAAAAAAATTTGATAATACTTTTTTGCAAAAGGTGTAAACCAAGTTTAGAACTAAGTCGACTATCCCCATGCAAGGGGAATGAAGAATTAAAAGAGAGAAAAAAACCTAAAAAGCGGTTTCTGCAACAATTTGATACATAATATACACAAAAAGATATTAGATACAAAAAACATTCATGCTTCAACTCAAAGCCGTATTAGTAGAGTGGTAAATACAATTTCATTATCAGTAGAAGTCAGACCAGCATAGTAAAGGGAAGATTGGAGGTTGAGTACAAACGTAGAATGTCTTTATTAAAGATGATGAGAGTCTTAGGTGAATATCTGGACTAAGAAAATGTGCAGCAAATTAGTTTAGCTCATTGCTGGTTTCGGTAAATTATGTCGGCGCCTGTTTTTCTATTGATTGAGAATTTATTGAGTCGAGATTCATCTGAGGATCACCAGAGGTTTGACCTTATGAAGATCTAGTATTGATGACGAGATTTGACTGAAAAAATTGAAGTTTGTTTTGATTTTGCAAAATATTTGTTATGTATGATCTCGCCGCCGGGGCATTGTGAGCTTCGCTCTTGAATCCATTACTTGTTTATTTATATTTATTCATGCATAACACATATGAGTGAACCAGAAAACAAACAAGAAATAAAAGAACCAAGAACATAGACGTCCATTACTAGATTGATGCAGAAATAATGAGAGTTTTGTGGATTCTCATTTTTATGTGCAACTTCCTAAACAACCTTCATTTTCGAATGTGATAAAGACCTCCAAAAAGCAGCAAACATTTTGCAACACATTCGCCTGTATTCGTGACGAACGGTCAGAAAAATGTGGACTGAAAAACAAAAAATTTCCTACTCAAACCTTGCCTTTGACACGTCATAACTCCCTTCAAAATTTGTCGTGCAAATGACAAGTTGCTTACAAATGAAGAAAAAGAGGCGCGAACAAAGAAGATTTGCGAAAAGGAGAAAAAATCAAGATCAAAATTCCCGGCTTTTTTCAACAATTTCCAGTAAAACCCGAAGTCTTGTATTATAGAATTCTACGATTTTCTACATATTGTATAGCCAAATGCTCTTCTAAAAGCCGTCAATAGGAATGGCTTACCCTCACGGTCACACAAATGGGAGAAACTTCGCGAATGCCTTCTTCGGAAGTATGGACCTCATACGATTACCACAACGATTACCTATGTTGAAGAGCAGATATCTCAGTCAAAATGATTTCAAGAAATTTAGCTAAATGCGCATAATGTAAAGGATTTCTGTTAAATACTGCAGCTAAATTTTGGAAAAAGCGTAATGGTTTGCGCCTGAATTCCGGCCAGGAAGTGAATGCAATGAAATACTGGTTTTAAGTGCGGTCACTCGAAGCTCTTAAATTTTTGACAGATAAGACTATTAGCCAGTTTCAACAAGCATTCTATACAGCATGAAAAGAGCCTCTCAGCAGTTGCTGGATCTGTTTCAGAGAAGAAGGTTTGTTGGAAAAAAAGTTGCTTTGAAGAAATGGAAGAACACTCATTAAATTCCGCATCAACGCAATATACTATGTATTGCATCAAATTACATCGAAAAACCACAAATTCAAATCTGCATATATTCATATCTGTCCAGAAAACACTAACCAAAAAGTGAGTGTTTCCAAAACCTCGAGAGGATGAGATGTTGCTGAGAAAACCCTGTAATAATTGAGATAAGCTTTGTTCAAGTCCTGAAAATAGATAAGTTCAAAACTCGAAAAATAACCAAATCCCTAAAAAGGTAGTATGTAATCTAAGGATGATGCAGTATCAAGGATACCATAGGAAGTGAAGCCTTGTTCAAATTCAGTTGGCCGAATTTTACACTAAAGCTTTTATTTTACGAACTCATGCTTAAAGAGTAAGATTTTGTATGAAGCACCAAAATCTGCAGCTTCTATTTATCAACTTGGTCCATAAATCTAGCATCAAAATCTTTTAAAGGTCGTAAGACTTGTGCTTGTTCAATTGAACATAGTTTTGAAAGGGAAAATCACACGAAGCGAAAATCTATGTTGGAATATCAGGGTAGTAAAAGCTGACAAGGATACGTTCAAATCGTAATCTGATTTATGGTCTATAAAAATGCTAGAAAGTCCTTTAAAATCTCTAATATTTTTGATTATGGTTTAAAACTGGTTCTTTTGGATGGGAAGTCTTGTGGTGACTGGATGTTTCAACTAATACTTAGGATTTTCGTCTTTTTTGAGTTGACGTTTCTATTCGAATAAAATCTCACATGCATAATGAGATAGGCCACTTGTTGTAAGCCTCCAAAAATTTGAAATCGATTTTGAAATTTTCTTTGAAATAACTTTGTAGGTGAATTATTTTGGTGCAAGGCTTATGGACCAAACTATGCTATATACTTGTTCGAATAAATGTTTGTAAAAGTCGTTAGGCATTTCATACCAAACTAGTGAAGCTGAGGAGAAAGAGGAGACGATGGGAAAGGGAGTGAAAAACGAGAGAAACTTTCTGATACCTCGCTTCGAAAGTTTCCTAGTTTTCCCTCGCAAAATTCCAGTTTCCTAATTTCACGAGTACAAGACAAGTCGTTTTCCTTTTTTCAAGCAAGTCGAACCACTGCAACTCGCGAAGTGGTTGCTCTCGTTCACAATTCTTTTAGGTAAGAGTAGAGGGTCCTTTAATCGCTAAAATTTCTGGTGTATTGAGGCTGGTCGAAAAGAAAAGATAAAAGAAATGATTCAAATGGTTGGCACTCATACGTACATTCCAATTCGTAAGCCGCTTCTTTTGAGAATTTCAGCATTCTAAACTATCCTCACTTCCGTACTCATTTTTCATTCTGCCTCCACTACTCCACAATGAAGTTCCATAAAGTAAATTTCCATCTTTCAGTATTACTTCACTTGTAAACAGCTTCGGAAATTCTTCCCTCTCTTTCTAGCGATAAAGCTCGAAGAAAGTCTTTTGTTCTGTCTTGTCGAAGTATGAAGATAATATCTTACGCGTTCTTTTTATATTCATTGATGGCGATGTTTTCCAGTAAAATAAATTTTTTTCCTAGGGGCATGCCCTAAGGTATTAACACATCATATCCGGGGCAATGTCTCTACCCGCCAAAAGGCTGACCTCGTTATGCCTTTGGGTTAGGAGGACAGCCGTGCCCGCCATTACTGTACCTATATAAAGGAGTGAGTCTCAATAGGATCAACTCGTTCTAATATGTTTCCAGATAATAGTTTTCTCTTGACTCCTGGCCAGTCTCATCCTGGTCATCCTGCTTTGTATTATGTTCAAGCGCTTCCGCATCCTTTAGTAACTGTAAATCATTTTCAGCAATCGCAGGCTCATCAAAATATTCAGAATTTTTCGCATTTTCAACCTCAGCAAGAGTCGCGAAATTTTCAGTATTTGCAGTCTCATCAAAATACTCAAGCTTTTCCTCAGTATCCATACTACTATGCGCAGCCCATTAACATGCAAACCAATTCATTGCCGGTTCAAAATTCTCAAGCAAACGCTTCAAGGAAGCGAAAAGTTTCAGTACCAGCGCCGCAAAATACTCTTCACAGTTTTCCAAAACAGAGCGTTTTTACTCCAGTTCAGAAACTGCAAAAAGAAGATAAAGTCGCTAATCCTGCGCAAGTTTCTGTGCCTAAAACTATGCCTGTACAGCCTCGTCCTGCCCCTCTTCCTCAATCACAGCGTTCAAATCCCGCAAAACAAGACGATTTTTCTACAAATCAAAGTCTCCAAAAAGAAAACAAAATCGCTACTTCTGCGCAATTTCCTGCGTCTAAAACATTGTCTGCAAACAATTCATCTCTTCCTGCTCCTCTTTCTCAGTCACAGCGTTTAAATCCAATGGCAAACCAAAGCGCTTTTCCTACAACTCAGAATCTCCACAAGGAAACCAAAACCGCTACTTCTGCTTCTGCTTCCGTACCTAAAAAAGCGTTACCTGTAAGCAATTTGCCTCGTCCTTCTCCTCTTCCTCAGTCACAGTGTTCTGACTCAGTTTCAGATCCTAAAAAAGATTTCAGCTCGTCTAAAAAAGAGAAGAATGGAAGGAAATCCCAGAATTTCTGGGAAACCACAAAGGTAAGTAAGCGAGACAAACCCAAAAAAATTCTTTACCGTATTCCAGGCACTCTCACGACGTACACCTTCTTGTCATGGTTAAAGGGTCCTAGGAAGAGACCGAGGGAATACTTGTGCAAAGGTTGTCTGAAATGTGGGAAAGAGACTAGCATAATGGTAAGAAAGCAAGAAAAGGAAATATATTTTCGAAAATCAACAATATATTTTAGGTCCAGCTTGGTCTCCGTATTGATATCGATAAGCGCTTTCTTTCTGATCCGTGTCAGCTAAATCACATTTGCACTCCTGATAAAATCAAAGACTGGAAAGAGGAAGCTGAAAGAGTAGGTTGTTTCCATAAATTTGAGAAAAGTTTTTTTAGTAAACATAGTTATTATTCAGGCCCGAAAAAGGGCTGCCCTATATGAGTTTGCTGAAAAGGTAAAGAAGAGCTCTGTTGGAAAAAGAGGAAAAAGAAAGATAGAAGCTGAAGAAACAATGTTGGAAGAGTCAAATCTTGGTAAGGACTATATTTTCTTAACAACAATAACAGTATGTTAGATTATCACTTTCAGATGAGAGATCAAAACAGAAAGTACGGACTATCATCGAGAAAGAGAGAGAAAGAGAAAGGTGGGTAAAATTGCTAAAAATTCATTACTTTTTTAGATCCAAAAATTTTCAGAAAGAAGCGCGAGAGAAGAAAGAAAGAAAAGAAAGAGCTTGAAGATGAGGTCAGAAGGTGGCGTTTGCAATTTAGTTTGTTCGAACTTGTGGATAATATCGAATGCGAAGAAAGAATGAAGAAGAAGGCCAAATTTGAATACGATGAAAACACAGAATTGGTAGGCATTATAGTTGGGATCAGGATTTCCTTATATTCATGTTCTAATTTTAGACACCAACGGAGCTGCTCGATGTGCTCACTGAGCATGCCCTTGAGGATTGCAGATGTACATATGTGGAATAATGGATACAGCATCAGCTGCGAAAAATATATCGATATTTAGAGCATATTTATTGCATGATTAACATATTTAGAGTGCATGAATAAATATTTAACAATGTTCACCAAGTAGGAGTCGGGTATGATGTCTTACAACACCGTTAGTAATAGCAGGCTCAAATGGAAGTCTTTGTAAAATCCCTCTTTTGAAAAACTACAATATTGATAAAGATAGATTTGATCAGAACTAGAACTTTATTTAAAAATTGGATGAATTTACCTAATGAGTAAAAAAAACTGGTCTGTAGAGAACACATTGATGACAAAGTGATTACATGAGATTTAATACTTACAATGTTTCAGGTTCCTATGCCATGCTTATGTTTTCAGAGTATTTTTGTGCAAAAACTGCAAATATTTATGCAGCTAAGTGATCCCTAAAAATTGAAATCCTTCAGACTAGTTTGTCAGAGCCTTCACCAACTGACAAAGGAACATTAATACAAACTTTTGTGCCTGCTTACAGAAAGAGTAAATTTCAAGCAATTTAAGCAAATGGGTTCAGATCGCCGGCCAAAATATGACAACGTGAAAGGTGCTTGTGTATGATTTTTGTTTATTTCACTTGGGCAATGGCAGGTAGATTTCTGAACTACACAAGAAGAAGAATTAAACACCTTGAGAAGTGTAAACCGTGATCTTCAAAATCTACCAACCCGTGCAGTCTCGCTCATTGCAACTTAAATTGCGGCTGAAACGGGAAATCGTGCTAAGTACTAGAGCTCGAATTTTTCTTGTAATTTTCTCATATTGACCAAATCTTGTCAATTTCTCTTTGTTTTCAATTGGAACTAGAGTCAGTGCAAAGGACTCTACAAAACTCCCAAGTATTCCATAATTTGATCTACGTGAACTTCGAAGTCTTCGAAGCTATAGCTTTTTCTTGGCTGCACAATCAGAACGCCTCAAAGAAAATTATGGGTCCCTCCCTCAGGCAATTGCATATACTTGCGATAATTTTTGACCAAACAAATTTTATGTTAAAAAAAGTGAAAAAGTGATATTCGTATTTTTGGTCTATTCCTTCGCTCCCTCTGTGAAGGAAAAACAGCAACGGTATAGGAGAATATCTGCAAACAGTGAAAGCTCAGACAAATTGAACTCCGCAGAAATAATTCAGACAGATTGCAGAGTGACAGACAGACACATAAAAATAACTAAAAAAAATTTGGTCTTTGGCTTCAAATTAGGTCAAACTTTGTGTGATTTTTAGAAGGCCAGCTTAGAGCTGGTTCTTTCTTTATTGAGTAGTACCCTAACTCTGTAAAACTGAAAAGAACATGCCTTTCTGTATGACGGAAGAAACTATGGAACAACGAAATGTTATTATTGTTATTATCACCACCATTGTTATGATTGTTTATGAAATATCATACAAATCAATTACTTTTTCATCATCCAGGCCCATTTTCATCCAGGTGTTGTAAGCTGCGTGCTTTTTATTTGGGTGGAATCTGTGCAAGTTTTGCCAGAACTGCCTTCTGCCTCTTGCCAAGAAAAATAACACTTGTGATTTATTTGCCCTCTTCTTGAAAATCGTTTTCGGTGGCTTAAACATAACGGCCAAACTTTCATTGTTCTCAACAAAGAAGGAGGTACTTTTATTATTCTCTCAAATGTTTCGCTCACATCTTTTGACCAAATTCCCTAGTCACCCTTAGTAGAAATCTATGAGAATATTCCCTTCTAAGCTGTTTTTCCAATCTGAACACCCTAGATGTGCTCTATCTATATTTGTGTTCATCTATCCCTACACATCAATCATTGACAGTGCTTGAAAGTTGACTATTTACTCTACATCTTGAAGTGATTGAGATGTTTTGAGACAAACTTGCGTGGGAAAAAAGAGCTCTACATATATTCAGCTAGATCTTGAAGATGTCTGAACGAAAAGCTCAAGCAGTTGAGTAAAAATGTCAAAATTCCTTGGAAATTGTGTGACACTTTGAACTTAGTTTAAACCATATTTGAGAAGGCATAAAAGGCAAGAATCCGTTACGAAAATGGGTCCGGCGAAGAGACCAATCACTAGTATAAAAGTTAATCCATCAATATCAACAGATATTTTAAGAGAGTGATGGTGCACAGAAAAACATCTTTTTGGGTTTTTTAATGCTTTGCAGTAACTCTTTACAAAATCACCTTCGAACATGCTTTATAATAAGTCAATTATATAATAGTATATTCATAGTTATATTAGGTTGAACCGAAAGTTCTGTCGCACCATTCTCAAAAAATCATAACTTCTTTACATCTCAACGATTTTGCGCAATTCAAATTTTGTCTGAAAGCGTAAAGCATGTAGTTTCTAGAAATCCCTTGAGAAATTTCCAAGGTGCTTAGGTTGCAGAGATAAAAATGAAAGAACGAGATCATCCAAAATTCGGAATTTTTAACCAAGAATTCTAGAAATTCAGAAAGTGTGCGAAAAAACCCAGAAAAGCCGTTTTTCTAATTTTTCTTATAATTGATTACTAACTAAGTCAAGTTTGTGCTGATCGAGCCCTTCTTTCAAAAGTTATGATTTTTTGAAAAAAAAAATGCCGAAAAATCAATTTACTAAGAAATCTTGAGAAATGGATTTTTTGGCATTTTTTTTTCAAAAATTCATAACTTTTGAAAGAAGACCTCGATCAGCACAAACTTGACTCAGTTAGTTAATCAAACATAAGAAAAATTAGAATAATGGTTTTTTTGGATTTTATCGCACAGTTTCTGAATTTCTAGTATTCTTGCTTAAAAATTCCGAATTCTGGATGACCTCGTTCTTTCATTTTTATCTCTGCAACCTAAGCACCTTGGAAATTCCTCAAGGGACTTTTAGAAACTACATGCTTTACGCTTGCGCGAATCGCGCAAAATCGTTGGGATGGAAAGAAGTTATGACTTTTTAAAAATGGTGCGACAGAACTTTCGGTTCAACCTAATATATTCATGGGGCTACATTCGTATGCAGCTCAAAAAATCCAAAAATCTCAAACAGTTTTTCCCAAAGGCATATCTATTTACTTGGTCCACGATATATTGATTTTGAAGAAGGCTGAGTTGAAGAAAAATTGACCTATTTCTCGCTCATGTGGCCCCTCAAAACTTATTTCGAAAATTTGCTCATTTGTTTATGATAAGTTGTACGCTCTAAGCTTACGCTATCTCTTGCTGTTCGTCTCTTATCACTATCATTTTTCCGCTATCGTAAGTCGGAAAGTTCTTTAATCCGAGATTTTTTTAGCAGATAAAAATTTTGCAATGTGAGCAAATTTTTGTTTTCTAGATCTTATCATATGATTATAGAGGCTCCTCGGACAGTTCTTCCACATGAAAAACATCTGCTGAGTAAAGTGACGTTGATAGAAAACATTTCAAGATTTTTAGTCTGAAGAAGAAAAGAAACGGACGAAGATATTTTTCAGAAAGAAAATAGTCACTAAACTGATTGAATCCTAAAAAATCTTGACAAGAAGTTCTTCACATTCGTCTTGAAAATTTGTAACTTTATTCCGGATGCGCTCCATACAAACTTTATCAGAAAATCGTTTTACCGTTATTTTAAGTTTAATTCGTATCTCTATAACCGTTCTATAACGGAACTCCTATTGTGAAGCCAGAGATTTTGCATTTAAATAAGATTTGAGTGAAACAAAACCGTCCGGATGCGGAGAAGCTACAAATTTAAGCGCAGACTAGCGTCAACCTAATATCAAAGGTCATTAGTTGTGCATCAACAAAATAATCTGGTCTTCTATCACTAATTTTTCAAATAGCATTGATTCATTCTCGTAAACCCAATGTAGTCGATTTCAGCGCCTGCTATGCATTGCCATAAACTCGAACTTATAGTACACGAAGGCTTATAACCCGTTAATACGATGCAATGAAGGATAATTGCGTACTCTAGTTGGGAAATTTGCAAAAATCCACTTTGCTAATCGGTGCGGATGTGATATCTCATTTGGCAAACAAGAACAGCACATTTTTATATAAAGCCAAGTTCAGGCAAAGCTCTCTATCCGACTATGTTGGCCATCTTTCTATGGGTCCCTAACTCAAATAGTAATGTGTTGTTGCGTGAATTTAAACAATAGGAAAAAAGTCTCACAAGTTTGATTTTCATTCCATCTCTGAATTGTGCGGAGGATTGTGCATTTTCAATATGTACATGTCACATATGATTAACGCGATTTTTTGAATGCTTGGCAAAATCTAATAGAATGAAAAGACAATGGAAGAATTCCCACAAACTAACGAAAAGACTGAAGGTTTGAAGTTGTAGAATTGCTTTTATTTTTACTGTAACTCATGTCCATGAAGCCAAAAATGATGCTAATATATAGCCCTTCATCCGTTTCTCGTATATGCCAAACATGAATGTTTGCCAAATCTTCTAAGGTTGCTTGAATGAAGACGAATAAGGCGCAACAAAACTTCTGCAACAACCTAATATTTGAATGGCACAACTGCCAAAAAAAATGTATCTTTTTGACTCAGCTAGTTGATAGGAAAGTTTATTTGAAAGACGAAATCATGAGCTTCGTGGCAGTACTCAAGTGACACTTTTTAGGATAGGTATTTGAGTCAAAGCTTGGTCTTTTATTTTTTACAACCTGCTTCAGGAATTCAATGTAATGTAAGTTGTGACAACACCATGAATAAAAAATTGTGCTATTTTTGAGTTCTACAGGAGTAATGCATTCCGAAAAAATTTCCAAAGTGAATATATAGAAAGGGAACGTTATTATTTAGAACGATTATTTCTTATGGCCCAATCCCTGAAAGGAAGAACTGGGAAGCTATGCAGTAACTCCCGTAAAATTTCTAGAAATATCTGCATGACTGGTACTAGATATTTAGTTCATAAAATGTTACGCCAACGTAACTCTCAATCGCATAGTGTCAAATGCTTTACAATGTAATATGAGGAAAACCTGAACTATGATATTGTCTGAAAAAAGCTGCATAGGTAATTCAATGATAGACTGGTAGAAAAAGTTGAAAAAAGACACAGATGCTTGTTCTTATGTTTAGACGAGGTTATCCTCTTGATGGAGGGATTGAGTTATCTGACGC